GGCTGGAAGTAGATCGTGCTTTGAAGACCCTGTTGGGGTGCCTCTCAGATGAAATAAATGAACTTTTAAAACTGTCATCAGCAGCTGACCTTATGAAGCACCCACAAGGCGCCCAGCTCAGTGCCAGACACTGTGAGGCACAGCCCTGCATCAGTAAGTCTCTCCTCGGGGGGAGATTACACAGTGATGCAGGAGGAGACATGGAAGGGAGAGAGGCAGAGCACCCTGTTCTGTTTCTGTGGACACGGGACCGGGCACAAGCGTACCTTTTTCCTCAGGGTGAGATAAGCAGGGATGTGAAAACAGTAGCACTTAGGGCCGCAGCTGGCGTCATGTCTTCTGTGGGGTGTCCATGGCCCTGTCAGCAAGGCTGTGCATTCTGCTCCTTCAGACCTCCCCACGGCTCAGCCGACACCCCACACTAGACTCCTGGGCTGCTGCCTGCGCACTCCACAGAGTTTAGTCCCCCCCTGCACCCCCTGCTCACCGTTGATCACTGCCTAGGTGATCTGCCATGTCTCCAGCACAGTCAGCTGGGATTGAGCCCGCAGTGGAGGGCAGGGCTCACACCGGATAGACTGTGCGCACACCCGGGAAGCGGGCAGTGAACTCCTATGGGGAGATGAATCGGAGTGGAGGGAGTGGGAGGGATGTGCCCAGGGAAGTGCTTCTGGGTGACAAAATAGCTGCAGACAAGTGCTCAGAACCCAAAGGAATCAGGGTGGGCCTCAGGGCAACCAGGCAATGGGCCAAATGCAAATCAGGCAGGGCCCACAGCCAGGCGGGGTCTGCCGGCTCCTTCTGCTGGTGTTTGGGGAGGACCAGAGGTGGAGCTAGGACAGCTGTGCCTGATGAAAGCAGATGTTCTCTAGGCCTGAATGTGGGGCACGGAGGAGGGGCGGGGGGGAGGGCCATTGCCAGCCCAGCGGGAATCACAGACCCGCTCCTGTGTAGTTACTACTCCTACGATGCACATTTCGAACATACAAAAGCAGGAGCAATGGCACCGTGGATGTCCACCTGCCCCTCGCCTGGTGACAATGACCACCCCCATTTTGCCATTCTTTTATTTATTTATTTTTAGAGGTTTTTGCTATAGGGTATGTGCACTCGCCAGAAAGACAGAGAGACAGAAAGTGAGAAATCACCCTCCAGGGGGGATGGTCACGCCGCAATCCCTTCTCCTCCATTCTCCTCTCGGGATCTTGGGCACACACGCACACGTGCCCGGCGTGAGTTTAAACCACCAGGTCTGGGACTCGAACCGCGCTTGACTACATGGGAGTCCAGCGACATAGCCACTATGCTAAATGCTGTTCCCTTCAGGTCCCTTTTTAATGACAATCTCAGGCTTCCTATCATTTTGACCATAAATATTTCAGAATGTCTCTCTCTCACATATTAGAATATTTGTGAAAATAGCCTCCATTTTATTATCACACCTAATACAATAAACAGTTCCTTAATGTCACCTGATGCATAGTTCATGCTCAGATTTCCTCATTTCTCTCAACAATCTTTTCAGGGTCCATTTACTTGAGTCCAGACCTGAACCAGGCTCACCCACTGCACGTCGGTGCTGGTTCTCTCAGGTCTCGCTCCGTCTCTGACAGCCCTTTCTCCTTTCCTTTCTAATGCCATTTGTGCAGAAGAGAACAGGCCCTTAGTCCTGTGGAGGTGTCACAGCATCGCTGTGGTGGCCGGAGCCCTCATGGTGTCATTTAACATGTCGCACCGTCCTCTTTCCTGTAAGCCGGCGCGTAGGTTTAGGTCGATCCAATCCGAGGTCGGGGATGGTTTGGGCTAGCAGATTTCCTAGGCGGTGCCGGTCCGTCCTAGTTCATCCCATCGGAAGCATTTTTGGGGAGATACTAAAAATGGCTAGAGGGTGTCACCAGCCTGGCTCCTCCGCTAAAGCTCCCCATCCGCTCACCCCCTGTGGTTTTCACACCTTTCGTAGAATCTCACAGCGACAGCAGGGAACCCCACCACCTCACTTTTCTATTCATCTCTTCAGTGTGGGCTGAGCATCTACTCTGCCGGTCAGGAGATGCAGGGAACAGACCCACACGAGCCCCCGACTGTGCTAGACCGCAAACACAAGGGGAAGCAGGTGCGGCAGAGCCACAGCAGAGCCACGTCTGCAAGGGCGAGGGTGTGCAGAGTTGCCGCAGGGTGAGGCGACTGCCAGCAACCAGGTGGTGGCTGCATGATGGGTGACCCGGGCGCTCCCTGGGAGGACACGAGCGTAACAACGAGCCACCATGCAGGAAGGGGAGGTGTTCCCTGGGTGGGGAAGAGCTGGTGTTAGCAGAAAACCTGGCAGTCGTGGGGGTGGGGGCTACAGGAGCAGTGAGGGACTGCCCTGCCTCCCCCTTACAGCTGCAAACGTGCACTCAGAGAGCACAGGAAGGGTCATTTACTGAGCCGTGACCCCACAGGGGCTTCCCGTGCAGCAGCTCCAAACCTCACAGCACACGCAGAAGTCACTGTGCCCGTTTTACAGATGAGGCCAGTGGCCAATGAAGCGCCTGCCGAGAACATGGAGCCAGAGCTGGGGAGAGAGGCAGAGCCCAGGCCTGGGGAGGCTCACCAGCCCTCCAGAGTCAGCCCTCAGCCTGCAGCGAGATGAGCACTGGCCAGCCAGGCTGCCCCGCACCTCCGCTCAGGTACCGAGAGGTCTGTGACCTGGTCCCAGAGCCGGCACCTCTCCTGTGCCTCAGTTTACCAACCTGTAAAATGGGCGTGAGAGCAGGTCCTACTTCAACTAGGTGAGGACGGGACGAGCTAGCCAGCGGAAAGTGAGCCGGCCAACGTCTGACCGCAGCACACACGATGGTCTCCCCTCACGTCTCTGTTCTGTGCACATGCATGCCCGTGGCAGGGCAAAGCTGAGACGTGAGGTCACCAAGCACAGACTCCAGGAGACCTGGCTGCGGCAGATGCATCCATGGAAGTGCCCTCAGGAGGGGAGGAGCTCAGTCCTTCTGGGGGAGGGGCTGGCTGGGGCGGGCCCGCC